GGAAAGCAATTTGGCCATTTGACATGAAATATGTTCACACCCTTGACCCAGTGACACCAACTCTGGAACCCATCCTCAGGAAATGCAGAACAAACTGATGTACAACAGCAAAACCCTGCAAACCACTCAACTGTCCAATAATGAGGAAATGATCAAATATACGTGGTATATCCACAAGATATGCTATAACAGGATAAATTATGAAGGAATTAAAGATGGTTTTAGACACAGAAAAATGTGTACACCGTAATTAAAAGAAAACAAACCAGGATACAAACATTATAAACATTATCTCAAGACTTTTTCAGCCGTTTAGATATATACTTTAAAAAAAAAAAAAAGATGAAAAGGAAATACTCTGGTATGTTGACAGTAGTTAACTTTGGATGGTGGAGATAACAAGCGGTTTCTTCTATTTTATAGTATTCTTTTCAAATTTCTAATGACCCTGTGCTATTTTGATAATTAGGGGAAAAAAAAGATCTTCTAAAAATAATATGTAAATAACTATTCTTTAATAGGTGCAATGCATTTTGTATCCATGTTCACTGACATTCCACTTTATCTCTGAGAAATGCAGTGCTTTAAGTTGTGAAATATCCTCTAAGTTAGTAATTTAAAGTGCCTTAATGCACTCTTAACAGCTTCTTAACGAGAACATTTTGCTTTGAGATTCTAAGCCTGCATGGAAAACACAATGGGAAAGGGGAAGGGGGTAAAGAACTTTGAAGAAATGCTCCTTGGCAGGATGCCTCCTGTTCCACAACTCTGAATCTGTATCTGAAGATGACCTCACTGGAAGGCCAGCTCCTACAGTCAAGTTTCAGATTTGCTAAACTTTACAGGTGAGCATATTTTCTTTAAAAACTATTTTTGCCCTTCTTACCCCAAAGTAATTCAATAAGAAGCACTCTGATCACAGAACTATTTCTGCTCTTAAAAGATATTAAACGTAGTTCAACAACCCAACAATGCCTGTTAGCCAGTTATTTAAATGTCCAAACATAGTATTATAATATTCCACTACTGCTACTTTCCATAGATTATCATTCTTTCCTGTAATTGATGTCCTCAAATACACAAACACTGTGTGTGTGTGTGTGTGTGTGTGTGTGTGTATTCCTCAAATGTTAGTCAATATGCTTAAGAAGGTTGGATCTAAAAAGCTATCCAGATTCGTAAGAGGAGTATATTTATATTCAAAAAAGATGTTTAAAGGATTAAGAGCTCCCAATTCACAGCTCTATGGTTCTAACCTCAGGTAGACCTACAGAGGCAGATAAGCAGAAAGTGCACTGGCCCTGGGTTCTAATTTTGTCTCTGCTACTAATTAGCCTTAGGAATTTCACTTAACCTTTCTGGATCTCCTACCTACATCTATAAAATGAGGGTAAAATTAGACCACTTAATTAAGGTTTTTACAAACTCTTAAAAAAATTATTCTAGGTCCAGATTTCTACCATTTTTCCAAATATCTCCTTTTCCTAATTCTCAGCAGTAATAAACTTTTCCTTGGATTAACCTTTGAGCTCTCCATACTTCACAAAAATGTAGACAAATTTTTATACTACTACTAATTTCAAAAATACACAATGTCTAAAAAACTTATCCCATAACATTTTGGTAAATCCTATTAAACATTTCTTCATAAGTATCCTATAACCCATCTAAGGGTCTCAGTTAAAAATAAAGTTTACTCAACATACATTACACATACAAGACACATGCTTTATTACATAATAACTGCCATAATACTTAGCAATGGGCAGTATTTCATTTCCTAACACTAATCAAAAAAATTAAAGACTAGATGTGCTTCTTTTCTGTGTTTTAATGTTCAAAACAAAGAGAACACTATGTATATTAAGTGTCTCTACATAAAACATTAGATAACATGAAGCATCATTTGAAAGGGTTTGAAACCATAAGAATATGAATTTGAGGACTGAAACTCTCCGTAAGCAAACTGCCTAATTTCAGAATGGACCAAACCCTGCATATAAGTAATTCAGCTTCACAAACATTCTGAGTAAGTTAAATGACATCACTCAAAGTTTTCTTAACTTTTAAGGCAGAAAATATAGACACATTTTAATTTGACGTTTACAAAAAGTTGATTTTTACCTAAGAAAATTGGCTTCACCTGAAGCTTTTCCTACCTGGAAAGTTACTTGTTGAATTTGAGAAATAAACGGCCAACTTTCTAAAGTAACACGTAGGAGTCAACGCGTTTGAATTTCTGAGTGTATAACTCAAACACTTTATACAAAGAATAATGCAGTTGATTTTTTTTAAGATAAAGCTAAATTTACTATTTTGGACACACTGTTTCTATCTAAAACTCTGTAAATTCACTTTTAATTACTAACTTTTTCCTCACCCTAAATATATTCTATAAGAACCACAGATTAGGTTAAAGTCTGAGGTTTAAAAAAAGGCATGACATTTACTGAGGTCTCTTTTTTTCCAGCATCTTAAAGGCCATGGGCAATTACCGTCACGATTTTTTCTTAACAGAACCTACCCACATCGTATCATTCAAAAAGAACGGTATAGGGAATTCCCTGGCGGTCCAGGAGTTAGGACTCAGAGCTCTCACTGCCATAGATCCAGGTTCAATCCCTGGTCAGGGAACTAAGATCCCCCAACTCGCACCGCGCGGCCGAAACAAAACACAACAAAGAGTCTAACGTTAAAATAATAGTTCACTTTGAGTTCAACAGCTTTCCAGATGTTAAAATAATCTAATGCAAAAAAAAGATTAATTTTGCATTAATCTAATGCAAAAACGGGGAGGACATGTGATTACTTGCCACAATCTAGGAATCCACTACAGCAGTCCACATTTGGATACATACACAAATTGAAAGACGGAAATGACCCCAGCTAACTCCTTTCTGAATATTTTTCAAAATATCGTTTCTGCATTAAACGAGTATACCCACTACAAATAATAACATCAGTTACCATTTATCTAACCCCTATCTATAGGCAGGCATGATGCGAGTCACTTAACATCTGTCATTTCATATACTCACAGCAACTCTGTAAGAAACCCATTATTATCTCCTCTTAATAGATGGGAAATCAAGGACTGAAAGAGGATACAAGGCTGCTAAGTGGCAGAGCCAGACTGCAAACCCAGGGATGCTTGACTTCAAAGTTCATGCTCATTATATTAAACAACACTGTCTACTGGAAACATTAAGCATGAAAATCGAGCTTGTATTTTTAGAAGTTCCTCAAAGATTTACTAAACTTTTTTTAGGTTTCCCAAGAATAACTACTTCTCCGCAACAAACAAGACTGACTGTAGTAATACACCTATATACACGATAAATTAATTCAGTCTTGTCAAAAAGATAGAATTTAGGAGGAGACACCCATTCTTATCTGAAAGGAATATCAGAAAATTTACAGCTAAATGAGCTCAGCTGCACTCAGGCTGATCTTTTCCACATCATACAAGAGTTCGAATATGGATACTTAGCCCAAAGTTTTTCCTTACTAATTTTAGTGGTACTACACATTCCACTTTTCTATGACTGTTGAAAAAAAGTAATCTCAAGCACCCCCCCACAATCATATTATACAAAAAGAGCCCAAAAAGTAGGCCATGCAACATTCCTCAAAGGAAGTTTGGATTTCTGCTGATCTCTATTTCTCCAAGTCTTACTCATTTCTGTTGCTCTATAACTGCAAGGACTGAGAGTCACGAGTTACACAAGTTGTGTTCCCTAACAAGGAAGGCGTGTTTGAATAATTCCAGTAACCCAACCAGTTGGACAGCTAGTCGTCTATTTTTTCACCCATCATCTAAACGGTGGAGGAACTGCTGCCATCTCGCTTTGGAGTACCTGGGCAAGCACAAGCCCCTGTCAGCTAAGACTGAGACACAGCAACTCCTGGGCTGTAAGTAAAGATTGACGAGAATCTTACGCTCATTTCTTCCGCAGCCAACCAAACAAGCAATATTGAATCATCCTCCTTCCCCTCAATCACTGCTGAATAAACACCACATTGTATATAGGTTCCCAGGGCAATTTCCCTCCCAGACACCCATTCCCTGGGCGTGGAATAAGCTACGTTCCTGCCCAGACCCTTCCCCTCCCTTCATTTAAGAAGCACCATCACAAAAGACCACCCCCAGTTTTTCAACGTAGTTAACTTTACGCTGGCTGCAAATCTTACCCCCTACATGAGGACATTTAGCTCTAGAAATGCAAAGACCCCTTAATTGCTCGGCTTAATAAAAGCTGTGCATTTACAAATCAATTATACTTCAATTAGATAAGTAAAGTATAGAATAAAGTAAAATAAAATAAAAGCTGTGCACTACTTTGGACTGGCTGGAAATGTCCCTCCCCAGCTTCACCGGTGAGCGCAGCACAATCAACTTGATCTTGGCCCCTCGGGGAACGGGTGAAAACCAGTAACTGAATTATAGCGGAGAAGCTGCCCACAGAATTCAGGAATGAGTCCCCACCGGTCCCCTGCTTTCCTACATCGGGGCTCTTCGTCCCGAGTGGCTAGTTGAGAGAATCTCAATTTTTATGCTTTCTCACGGGACACACGGAGTCGCCAAATCCCACCCTTCAGGCAAGTGACAAGCTGGAGTTAACCCTTCCGCTGCCCTCACAGACCAAACCCGAAGGAAACCCCAATCCCCCAGGCGCCTTAAAAATGTGACAAGCCCAATTCCACCCTTTCCAAACCCCGGCCGCGTTAAGAACACGGCGCCTGGAAGAAGACAACTAAATGGAATTAACCCTTCAGCCGCCGATCTCAGCGCTACACTTCAGCCACCAACACACGCGATGTGTGTCACAGAGTCCTGACCCTAGGGAAAGTGACAAGCACGGCTACTCCCTCCCCCAGTACACACACACTCCCAAGAGCCCCGCGGCGCAGAGGGGACCCCCAAGCCAGGCCTGCGCGCGGACCCCGCGCCGGACGCGCGGGCCGCGGCGCCCCGGGCGGGTGAGCGGGAGGGCACTCACCGCAATGACATTGACGAAGGTGGTCTTGCCCGAGTACTGCAGCCCTACGAGCGTCAGCTCCATCTCCTCCTTCCAGAAGAGCGAGCGGAACCAGTCCAGCAGGCGGGAGATGAGAGCCAGCATGATGGCGGCCGGGAGGAAGGACGGACGGGCGAGCGGGCAGGCAGCGGTGACGACGACCTCCACACAAGTGGGCCTCGGCCCGAACCCCGCAACGGCTCCTCGGGACCCCGGCTCGACGCTGGCGGGCACGGGTTGGCGGCGGCAGCGGCCGAAGCCAGGAAGCCGAACGGGTCATATGACTCGCCCTACCCCCCACGCTTGTCCCCGCGCTGCCGTCTGCGCCCACGGCAAGAGCGGCGGGCCCCCCCACCCCCACCCCCCTGGCCAGGCGCGCCCGCCTCCTACAGCGCCACCTGTTGGGGCCGCCGTGCAGCACCGCGTACCTGAGAGCCGCCCTTGGGCTCCTTTCCTACTACCCTCCTTGGCTCATTCATATTGGTTCATTCAACTTTCATCCTCTCTACAATTGTTTATTGACAGTCCGCTCTGTGCAGAAAGACTTCAAAACTCTGGGGATACAGCATGGAAATCCCTGTCGTATATAACAAAAGATGGAAGCCACAAGTATTTATCAGTAGAGAAGTGATAACTCCAGTATGTTCCCAAAAGGGAATACTATAGAGCTGTTTAAAAAAGAATGAGAAAGTTCTATATAAACTGATATGGGATGATGTCCAGGAAATATTTTGAAGGAACATAAATGCAAAAGGCCAACTATGTATTAAATGACATCTTCAGTATAAGATGGGAAAACAAAAATATATATGTACATATATACAAATACGTATTGTAGTTGCATAAAGAGATACTGGGAGACTAGTAAAAATGGTTTTCTATGGGGGTCAGGGAAACTGGGTAGTCAGAAACTGGATAGTTCCCAGAAATGGGAACGAGCCTTTTCTGGATATCTTTTTATATCATTTTCACTTTCAACCATGTAAATGAGTCACCTGTTCAAAAGTTTAATTTAACTAAAAAGTACACTAAAATATCTGCAAGGTTTTCCAATTTTAAAAAATACCTTCCCCTGAGGAGCTTACATTCCAGGGGGGAGATATGTAACATAATAAACAAATAAATATAAGATATAATGCCTTGTAGTACTGAGCATTATAAAGAAAACTGAACAAGAAGACACAGGAGTGACCCCTGTTCTAGGGGTTAGGGTCAGAGTAGACCTCTCAAAGGAGTTGGCCCTGGATGGGAAGACCTGGAGGACATGAGAATGAGGGCCAGGCACACATCTGGTGGAAGCACGTTTCAAACAGAAGGAACAGCAAAGACTCTGAAGGGGAAAGGCACATGGAATGCTCTAGGAATAGAAAGACAGTCAGTGTGGTTAGCTCAGAATCCTAATACTAAGAGATATGGATGGAGAAAGATGCAGGGACCAGAGGAAGTAGGGTATGGTGGCCCTAGTTCAGGTCTTGATATGATGGGGAACTCGGAGAGTGAACCAGTTTATATTTTTAAAAGTTTTCTCTGGCAGCTCCATGCAGAACTGACTATAGGAAGGCATTATGGGTTGAAGTGTGTCCCCACGAAAGATACGCTGGAGTCCTAACCCCCAGTACCTCAGAGAGTGGCCTTCTTTGGAAACAGGGCCATTGCCAATGTAATCAGTTAAGATGGTCTTAGTGGAATATGGTGGACCCTTAATCCAAAATGACTTCTCCTCAAGAAGAGTAGAAGATACACAGACACAGGAGGGGAGAGACCCATGGGACAACAGAAGCAGAGACTGAAGTGCTGCAGCTGCAAGCCAGGGAACACCAAGGAATTGCCAGCAAACCACCAGGAACTGGAAGAGAGGCACCAGGAACTGGAAGAGAGGCACCAGGAACTGGAACAGATTCTCTCTCACAGCCTCAGAAGGACCCAACCTTGCCAATACCTTGATCTTGGACTTCTGGCCTCCAGTACTGTGAGGCAATACATTTCTGTGGTTTTGAGCCACCCAGTTTGTGGTCCTTTGGTATGGCAGCCCTAGCAAATTAATACAGAGTGAAAGAGCAGAAGGAGTGAGATGGGTTCAGAAGCTCTTATACTAGTGTAAGGGAGTGATGCTGGTGGCTGGGCCCAAAACTTTGGACACACTTAGGTGTCAGCTGCCACGGACCTTCCGTTCTAGAGAGAAAGACAGTGAACAAGTCAACAAACTAATTTCAAAATGAAAAGTTGAACATTCCTCATCCTTTACAATTATAATAATTTCCTTCACCTCTAAAACCATTTAATAGAAAAGTCACTTCTTACCTCCCAATTCTAGTTTCACAATTAAAAAAAACCCTTTTATCAGGTGTTCCCAGTGGTGAGGACTCAGCACTTCCACTGCCCAAGTTCAGTCGAGTTCAATCCCTGGTCGGGGAACTGAGATCCCGCAAGCCACGCGGCAGGGCCGAAAAAGAAAAGAAAACTTTATAAATTATTTTTTATCATAAAAGCACAATATGATGGTTGTAAAACCATCAACTAGTAGAGAGGTATGATAAGAAAAAGGCAATCTGTCTATTGGCATCCTCAATCCCCCATCTCTGAAGTAACCCATTTTAAGAGTTTACTCTTTTTTGATCAAACAAACATTTATACACATATATGGGATAGAGAATTTTCTCTTATGCACAAAAATGGGAACATGTTGTAGGCATTATTCTAGAGCTTCCTTTGTTCAGTTATAGTTAAATACATTTCATTAAAAAGAAAGGCATAAATATTCAAATAGATATTCAAAACTTATCATTTCCTAATCACTTTAATATAGCTTACTATTAGCTATATTCTTTTTTTTTAATAAATTTATTATTATTTTTTTTTTGCTGTGTTGGGTCTTCGTTTCTGTGTGAGGGCTTTCTCCAGCTGTGGCGAGCAGGGGCCACTGTTCATCGCGGTGCGAGGGGCTCTCACTGTCGCGGCCTCTCTCGTAGCGGAGCACAGGCTCCAGACGCACAGGCCCAGTAGTTGTGGCTCACGGGCCTAGCCTCTCCGTGGCATGTGGGATATTCCCAGACCAGGGCTTGAACCCGTGTTCCCTGCATTGGCAGGCAGATTCCTAACCACTGCGCCACCAGGGAAGCCCTTGGCTCAATTCTTGAAGCTATTTACAAGTAGTGTATCCATAGGATGGAAATACCATATAATGGAGAACATTTCTTCCCAACTCCGAGTTCATCGATTTTCATTGGTAGCTTGAAATTAACCACTCTGGGAGTATTTGCACCATGGAAATTGGCAAACACTACAATTTAGGCTTCTCCCTTCCCTGGAGAGCTAGTTGTTAGACATTTACTGGCACACTACTGATAGTACTTAATTCATAGCACTAAAGTGAGAATTAAATAAAATAATAGTAAATTAGATTAAGTAAGGTAATGAAAGGCAAGATGATACACTTTTTGTGTATAGTGTTCATAGCATAGAATGAAGCTTCTGATCACAGCTCCTCTACCTATCAGCTGTGTGAACTGTGCAAGTTGTCTAACCTCTCTGTGCCTCTAATTACTGTAAAGGGAGGTAATATTGTTATCAGCCTCAAAAGGTTATTGTGAAGAGTAAATGAGTTCACATGAAACTCTTATTATAGCGCCTGGTGCAGCATTCACATTCACTAAACGTTAGTTATTATTTCTGGAACATAGCGACGCAGGACGTTTGGTTAGCAATTCAGGTGCTCAGTTTCTCATTTGTAAAATAGGGATAAGGATACCACCCTTATTTGATATTTTAACTGAAGAGGCATTTTCTTCTGGAGTCGGTCCATCATGTGTACAAAGTCCTGTGGGTGTACTCTTCCCTTTGAACTTTATCTAGAGTTAAGTATTAAAATGGGAATTCTTCCTATACACTAAAGATGAAAAATCTGTAAGAGAAATTAAGGAAACACTCCCATTTACCACTGCAACAAAAAGGATAAAATACCTAGGAATAAACCTACCTAAGGAGAAAAAAGACCTGTATGCAGAAAATTATAAGACACTGATGAAAGAAATAAACGATGATACAAATAGATGGAGAGATATACCATGTTCTTGGATTGGAAGAAACAACATTGTGAAAACGACTATACTACCCAAAGCAATCTACAGATTCAATGCAATCCCTATCAAGCTATCACTGGCATTTTTCACAGAACTAGAACAAAAAATTTCACAATTTGTATGGAAACACAGAAGACCCCGAATAACCAAAGCAATCTTGAGAAAGAGAAACGGAGCTGGAGGAATCAGGCTCCCTGACTTCAGACTATACTACAAAGCTACAGTAATCAAGACAGTATGTTACTGGCACAAAAACAGAAAGATAGATCAATGGAACAGGATAGAAAGCCCAGAGATAAACCCACACATCTATGGTCACCGTATCTTTGATAAAGGAGGCAAGAATATACAATGGAGAAAAGACAGCATCTTCAATAAGTGGTGCTGGGAAAACTGGACAGCCACATGTAAAAGAATGAAATTAGAACACTTCCTAACACCATACACAGAAATAATCTCAAAATGGATTAAAGACCTAAATGTAAGGCCAGACACTATAAAACTCTTAGAGGAAAACATAGGCAAAACACTCTAAGACATAAATCACAGCAAGATCCTTTTCGACACACCTCCTAGAGAAATGGAAATAAAAGCAAAAATAAACAAATGGGACCTAATGAAACGTAAAAGCTTTTGCAAAGCAAAGCAAACCATAAACAAGACGAAAAGACAACCCTCAGAATGGGAGAAAATATTTGCAAATGAAGCAACTGACAAAGTATTAATCTCCAAAATATACAAGCAGCTCATGCAGCTCAATAGCAAAAAAACAAACGACCCAATCCAAAAATGGGCGGAAGACCTAAATAGACATTTCTCCAAAGAAGACATACAGATTGCCAACAAACACATCAAAGGATGCTCAACATCACTAATCATTAGAGAAATGCAAATCAAAACTATAATGAGCTATCACCTCACACCAGTCAGAATGGCCAATTTCAAAAAATCTAGAAACAATAAATGCTGGAGAGGATGTGGAGAAAAGAGAATCCTTCTACACTGTTGGTGGGAATGCAAATTGATACAGCCACTATGGAGAACAGTATGGAGGTTCCTTAAAAAACTAAAAATAGAACTACCATATGGCCCAGCAACCCCACTACTGGGCATATACCCTAAGAAAACCATAATTCAAAAAGAGTCATGTACCACAATGTTCATTGCAGCTTTATTCACAATACCCAGGACATGGAAGCAA